TGCATATTATATCCAGAATGTTTCCATTCCTGATTAATTTCTTAAAAATTAAACTTTTTCTACACAGTAAAGAAAAAGCCTACGTAATTAATTTTGATATTTTGTAAACATATTCATTAAACAGAAATTTGCATGATGACACTGAAAAGAATTAGCCGACTTCCTGAAAAAAAAAAAATTTTTATATTATATTTTGCATTAAAATGTTAAACTTCTATACAATTGAAATAGAAAACAGAAAACTAAATCCGAGTCTTTAATGTATTACTCGTTTTGCATTGAAATTAACAACCCAAAAATTTACAAAACGATAAGTTATTTCAAATTTTCGCAACGTAAGCAAAAAGCAATACAAGAACTATCGACTGTTAAAAACAATGTCATAATGCCTAATGTTTCGCATTAGAAGAATAAAAGTTCGAGAGTTTTTCAATTCTTAAAGCAGTTAAAAAAACTGTGAGCAGCTAATGAGTTTGTGTTTAACCGACAACTGTAAAAATCAATAAAGAGCCAAAATATTGGAAAAGATTCCAAAAAAAGGTGGATTAAATTGTCAATCTGTCTCTCTTCTAATTTTTATATCAATCATATTTTTGCTTTGAGAGAATTTTCAATAAAATTGTTCTCAGTATTAATTACTGTATCACTAATAATAAACTATTTTAACTTACTATTATTTAAACTAAACAAAAGCTGATATACCTCCTTCTTTGTAAAGATTTTCCAAAAATCTATATTATATTATTCATATCATTTAAAAGCTTCAGTTAATATATTTAGGGTGTAATAAAGAGCTTGATGTAATTAAATTTATCATTTTGCTATATGATCATTACTAATTAATGATCATTTTGATTAAATGATGTTTACTACGAGAATCAGAAGAATAAACGAACATAGAGGGGATTTTATTGGGTATGCAAATGGTTTGCCAATTCTGAAAAACAACTACTTAATTAGTGGTCTACGATAAGAGGCAGCCTTAAGACAACAGCATAAGGACCAACATGAAAGCATTAATGCAAAAGCAATTCAATGAAGCTCATTCATTTTACTTCTTAAACAGAAAAAAAGATTGTTGTTGTAGGTTTTTGATGCCTCAATTAAAAGATTTCCTAAATTTGTTTGCTTTCGAAGCAAACACATTTAGGAAATCTTTTAATTAACGGGCATCAAAAACTTTGATTTAGAATAACAAAGTAATTCAGTTTGAAATATGGGAAAGCATAATACATCGATTTTTAAATTGTTCTCTGCAACTGTTTTGGTTTTACTCTAAATGATACAAGGATGCTACTTTAAAATAATATGAAGTTGAACGATAGAAATTAACCTTCAGTACATCAAAAAAAAGCAAAAATCAAAGCTACAATTATAAAAAAGTGTCAATTTTTAAAACCTGTTCTGCCTCATCAACTACTTCCATCGTGAATCACATGAAATAACATAAAATTCGAATTAAAAACAAATGAATGTTTTTTTTTTATTGCAAATATTCAAGTATACAGCGATAAATGTGAGATTGAGAACAGAAAAATTAGCAAATCGCTTTTCAACAATATTGTCATATTTGAATGAAATATGATGATTTTTACTTCTTTGTTCTATTTAGGGAAGTGATTCGTCTATTTTGTGCTCTTTGAAGTTTGCTTCCATTTTTATGAACAGTTACATTTTTATGTTAGTTCATTTTAGTGTTGAAAGAAATTTATCCAAATTTTAATGAAATCTTTGAGGAAATGATGAATATGTATTGACTGGAATAATGTTAACACAGAAGTAATGTAATGAAAATAACGAAATAAGTGCAAATAGAGAATCCACTTAAAATTTACTTCATTCCTTTCTGATTTCCTAATTAATGGAGCTAAAATATTCCAGTATTTGTGAAAAAATCTACTAAAAGATTTACAGGAAATATGAAACCACTGTTTCTGGTATTACATCGGATTGTTCGGTATATTTTAAGAAAAAAAGAAACATTGAAAAATATCTACAAATGAATGCTGAATCCTCCAGTGAACTAAATACATAAAAAGGAAAAAAGAGAATTACAAAATTTTTAAATTCCTGATACTGTCATACTTAAATTATAATTATCCGTTTGCTATTCGGAAATAATATCACTTCTAACAGTTCTCAATATTCCATTCTTTTCTTAATCGAAAAAAATGAATGAGTGATATACAAAATCATATTCGGCTTATTCATCTCATATGATAAATTAAGACTTCTTACAATTATTCAATTCTTTAATCTTATATAGTTGTACCTCGTCGGATGAGTCTTTCGGGAATAGGCGGATCGATGTTGATCACTGAATTTTAAACGAAAAAAAAAACGAAAAAACAGATATATCTCATTAAAATCAATATGAAGGAGCGAAAAAAAAAAACACATGAATAAGTGCTATACCAATCAAAGGACATTGAATTCATCAGCGAACAGAAAAAGAACCAATCCAACAACTGCAAGTTGATTGCTAACAAAAGAAAGGAATGACAACGGATGGCAAGTATATGTCTGACAGTGTCTTCCAACAATTACTAACAAAGAAGTAAACAGAATGACAGTATCTAATAATGTTAAAAATATAGTGAACAAACTTTAAATATAACCAAAGATCACATCACAAGTAATTTAATACTTTTATCACAAAAGTTACTGCTAAAGATAACTGCATTATTCTATTCCTACCAATCCAATGTTCATCTCTTTCTCCGCAATTTATAAAATATATGATTGTTATCACTCCTCAGACGGGGAATCATTCACCAAGTGCACTAGCGTATGCGTTGGATCTTATATCATCATACGGAGCATAACAATCTCTGACCGTAAAAGCGTCAATAAGCAGTCCAGTTAATTAAATTGGATGGTTCACTAATGCTACACTTTTCAATGGGAAACTAGACGATCAGAGAAATTCTCTGCAACATTACTAAGAAAATTTTCACACACGAAGTATTACGAATTCACTTCAGACTCTCTCTATCATGCTACGATATTCACTCTGAGATAAATAGCTCGAGATAATCCCCATCAATCAAACAGTATTAGAGTAATATTTCGAAAAAGAAAAAACTGAAATATTATTAACGCCTTTTATTTCCCCTCTCTCACACGCACACACTTCATTTCACATAAATGTCTGTAAAGGTAAACTTCCATGTGTAGATTAAAATTACCTGAAAAGAAACAGTCAGATAATATGTTTTTGATCTGTAGACCAAGTTTTTTGTATCCAATACCAATCTAAAAAAATCGACTCCGAAATAGAAAGCATAAGCATCTCGTGTCGATGAATGGAAATGTTTCAAAACAATAATAAGTTTAGTTTTTATTCATTCAAATTTCTTTTAGCTATGAGGTCAGCAAGAACACTGTACATGAAGTTAAAAACTAAGAGAAGTCATTTGATTGCCTGAAGGAACAGAAAAGACATTATCTGACGAAAAACTTACTTCAACAAACATTTAGATCATCCCAAATGTGAATTTTCCAAGCAAAAAATCCTTACATTTTTATTTCCTGAGAATGTAATTATTCTGTTCTAATAATGTAATTTTGGAGTACAAGTTGACAAAAATGTGGAACTTAAAAGCTATAAAATATTCACTAGTGAATGAACATACAACTACTAGAGAATATTAGAGAATATGTTATAAAGACACGAATAAAAATATACATCAAGGTAGATAGAAAATTTTTCAATATGCAAAATTTTGTATTCTGGATGAATGAATGGTGTCCATGAAATAAGCTTTCCGTTCAATGATATAAATTCTCAAAAAAAGATAAAAGAAAAAATGTTTCCAAAAATAGTATCGAAATAATGCACGATGGAAGAAGTTAAATTTTAAACCTAAAAAATTTTTAATTTTTAAAGAGTTTTTGGGACAAAGCTTGGCAAGAGCAAATCATGCAAACAAAAATGCATTGCAGCAACACTAAGTATGAAGGGTTCACAAAATAATTTTTCAAAATTCTCATCGTTCAGTTATAACACGTTACAAAAACATTGGAATCTCTTGGCTGATACAGTAATTCAAGTGTTGGACTCTTCTTAATCTGACATTATTCAAGAAAAAATTTGAGTTCTACATTAATGTCTCTCCCACTGATCCACAATTACAGCAAAAATGGTAGGGAAAAATAAGTGGTAAGACAGCGGTAACGGTTTTTTAAATGTGAAATAACTTATATATACTCCGGCTTTTGTTTTGAAATGCATAACTTGACTTGTAAAACAACTCATATAACATTTAAAGATGGTAAAGATATGAAATTCAGCCTAAAGCTTCCGTAAAGGACACATAATTAATGCATATTTATAGACATTTCGCCCCTGAACAAAATCAATCAATACTTGGTGATAAAAAAGATATGAAGACCAAAAAATATATCCCTTGAAATCAGTATAAAAACGATGAGAGCAGATTTTTTGTCAGAAAATCGTTTAAATTAGATAATATCTCATTATCTTCGTCACAACGAAACCAGATTCCGAAATTAATGCATCACTTAATATAAAAATTGTCATCCATTTATGTTAAATCATAGTATTAAACAAAAAAACATGATAAAAAATAAAAATTCGTATGAAACACTCTTCTTCCAAGTGAAAAATAAAGAAACTAAAAAAAATATTTAATTCACAATGATTTGGGACAGTCAGCAAACATGTATGAACGAGATAAATAATGAAAACTTTCTACAGAAGAAAAATTTTAGGATGAGCAATCAACGTAATATATATTCTCCAAGATATTCGCCATGGCTATCTACAAAGATTATTTTCTGAACTAATAACTTAATCAATTTAGTTCGGTATTTTTAGTAAATCTTAACCTTCTGATTCATTCTTCCGCTGAATAGGCGCATCAACTGATCTCAAATTGTAAACAATCGAAGTATTCTTCGATTGTTTAGGATTTGAGATCAGTTGATATAATATAATCCATCACTGCTGGAGAATAAAAGAATCGAATGTAGAAATTCTATTTAAGAGCTGCCCATTTCATGAAACTCGGTACTGTCCTGCACGGTATATTTTCGCATACAGCTTTGATATTCAGTGCACGATCTTCAGTTAGTAAAACAACACTTCGATAAAGTCTTGTTGGCTGTTCCATGTCCATCATAGATACAGACACTGACTGTGCTGTTGTCACGGCGTTTGAAGGCTTAGATCGAGTTTTTGCAAAATTCACACAACTTGACAGAATAAAATCATCATTAACTGCCTGAAATTTCATCTGTCTGTTTTGATAACATTTCAATAATTTGTGTATAAAAACGGCATCAGGTTAAGAACTTTTTTATTTTAGCTCCTTCATTTCTGATGTCTGATTTGCCTATTCTATAATGTTATATTTCGTTGTATTCACGAGAGATTTTTTTTTCAAGAAATATTCAGCTTTCTTCCGCTATTTCTAAACATTTCTAAAACAAAGTGGGAAAGCAGTGATAAGTCAAAACCTTCAGTTCTCCTGAACCGGAAGTTTCTTCCGTAGCAAACATAAGCGACGTTAATAGATTTCCCTTGCTGGTAATTGTGTAGATTTGAGGTACTTGTTTGCCAATCAAATCTTTTAGATAGGCGACTGCCTCTTTCGCTCGTTCACCAACCCAATGATCTTGAAAATCTTCTCGCCCTCCAACAGTAGGTTTTGGCGATGATAGGCGTGAAAGGCTTTCTAATTCCGAGAAAACTGAAATTTTTCGATTTTAATTTTCCCTGTGTAAACAGAAAAACGAAAATTGAATTTGAAAATTTGCCAATGTAAAATTTTTAAAAAATACCAGTTGTTGGTACAAGTACAGTGAATCGATGACTTTCAACAATTTTTTTAATAGACATCAAGTGATCGATAAACGTGTTTGTATCTGGTACCAAATAGTTTGGACGCACTTCAATAATTATTCGATTTCCCTTCGTTTCACGTTCCAAGAGCTTCTTGAAATTAGTAACCGGTTAGGTTTAAAATGACCGCATGACCATAGCTCTTTCATTTTGAGAATGTTAAAGAATGTTGAATAATAGGGTACCCTATTATTCGACATTCTTTATGAGATATATATATTTTTGTTCCTTCTCAAATAAATCCAGGGATTCGATGAAATTAAAAGTTAAAAATAAATGAAAGTGCAAAGATTTTCGGTAGCAAATTAAAACGTTGATAGAATAGTGAAGAATTTAGCATACCTGTTTCACTTCATTTTCGCGAACTGTTTGCCTATAATGTTTATATTCCTCTGAGAAATGACTCTGAAAAAAAGTAGTGTACGGAGGAAAAAATAAAAAGTTTGTTGTTAAAAATAATATAAATAAGTTAAAGATTCACTTTATGCAATAAAAATTGCAAACTTACTAAATCTTGTTCCATTACTTCATGTTTAAGTTCTGAATTATCCAACTGCTGATCAAAATCAGCACTGCATTCTCTCATTTCCATATTTTGAACGGTAACTGGTGATGCGCAACGGGCTGCAGCAAAGCAACGCAAATGTTCATCGAATCCAAAACACGGCAATTCTGAACCATCCAAATATTCCGCTGTAGACAAAAGGGACGATAAACGAGCATGGAGAGCTAGAAGAGTTGTCTGAAATTGCAAATTTGTTTCTAGGTGAAAAAACAAGCAAATTAAAAAATAGAAAACAGAAAACGAAAACTAAAGCCGAGTCTGATTGGAAAAATTCATAATTGAAACTAAGCCAAAAACCTCTATAAATAAGGGTTTTTACGGTGGATAAAGAGCAAATATAACGAAAGTAGGAGATCAAATGCCACCTTTCATTTACCAACTATTCGAAATTTCAATGAACAAGTCATGATTCACCCAAAAAATATTTCATGAGACAAACTGATTAAGATATTGTAAGCTGCTCTTACATTATTGCGAAGGTCGATATTTGCTAAGGATGACATTTGTAATGATTTCGGCAATACTGTAAACACATCAATGAAGGATGCCAAAAAAATCGCTTCAGGAAGCATAATTTCTACACATTCTCCCGATTTTCCTAAAAGATTTCAATTGATATTCAGTTTAAGTTTTCTTCTATGTAAAAATGAAAAATATGAAAAATCAGCAGTGCTTGATTCAATCAGCAACTAACCATCAGACTGTGCAATAGTCCTCGACAAAATTCCTTTAGATTCAGCGTTCACTAAAGTATTCGCAACATCGGCGAGTAATTTCCAAGTATCAACTTGCATAAGTGAAGTTTCAATGGATTCCAATGATGGCATACTTCTGTACAGTCGATTTACGGACGGCATCGACAACCATTCAGAAATAACGAAAACAGCCGGCAGCACTCGACGCATCTGAAGTATTGCAATTTTAAAATATGATTGTATGCATTTAGAATACAATTACTGTTATTCGAATCACTTCATACAATAAAAAACCTTTGGTGACAGTCGAACAGAACCGTTCAGAACCTCCGACAAATCTGGTAGCTGGTCATGTACTGGCTTTAAGATTACTCCAAACAAACTAAGGACCATCTGCACTGCTTGTTGTTGTTGTAAAGAACAAGTGCCTGGTTCACTATCTGAAATAAACAATAAATGACCAAGAAACGAACTTGGCGCAAGTTCAAGTTTTCATCATTCAGCATGGTGTATGTCCAATATGTAATATTGGAATGCTTTAGCAACGACGATCACGAAATATGGTCTAACGATAAACCATGAAAACATCAACACTTCCGTTTTCATATTACTGTTCTCATAGTTTCATAATAATCCAACTTCATGACAGCAGATGTGCTTTTCTTCGTCGAAAAGTATGAACACGGAAAGGTATCTTCCTGATACATCTGCGCTACCAAAATACGAATGAAGGTCATTTATGAAACGTTATAAAGACTTACTTTTTAAAGTTAAACTGTGAACTGCATATAAAAAAAGAGTGCACAGCTGTATGAGATGTAAAGACGAAAGTGGACACTCGTCACGTGATATTAACTGTGATAGTTGGAATAATGCTCGTTCGCTGATACTGTCATACTCCTCCATTCCAATTTTAGTAATAAGAAGTCCAGCTGTATGAAGCAAATATGGCACTGCACGGCGGAATAACTAAAAATTAAGATATGGAAAATTGTTTTTCTTAAAGAGATATATCCCAGTAAAATTTGTCCAAAAGAATTTTTTTGCCAGTTTTTCTCTATATTTTTTACACACTATTTCGTTCAAACTAGTAGACCCAACAAAACCTATATCATCGGCATAAAAAATGCTGATATAAATCCAAAATGATTAAATTTAACCTCAACAGTGGAAACTGATCTTAATGCATATATAGCCCGATGATCCGCAATATTTGCATAATCACCAGAGGAAAGTTTTCCATCATGTGCAATCCAGATTTCCCGTGGTCTATCAGCTCGAGCGGCAGCTGCTTCGGCCTCCCGTGATACACTATCACCAACGCGTGCATTGAGCTCTATTTCAAACTCACTCACCTAAAAACGAATGCGCGAATAAAAACTCAACTAAGATTAATTCAAATTTTCTCAGCATTCTGAAAGCGATGAAAAAATTCTTTTGCTGAACAAGGACGTTAGCCGAACAAGATAAAACGATTCTTTATTCCAACAGATTAAGGAACTGTTTCATCTTGTTCGATTAAATTAATCTTGTTCAGCAAAAGGAATCGAACATAAATCCTTCTTGGTCTAGCAGTTCTAATCATCACGGTATCAGTGAATTGGACTAAAAATTATATAAGTTTTAACAAATAGAATTTCTTACAAAATCCACAGGGATGTATGAATTAATATCCTCATTCAGTCGTTTTGCATAAGAAAAATAATCAACCTGGTGGATCTTATCCCCTTACGTATTCTTAATAAATGGCGCACATTAGAGTCATTATCTTATTATTGCAACAATCCATTTGTTCAAAAAACTCCCCTTTGTTTACTGATTAGTCGGAAAAACATAAAAGTGTTAATATCACTAAAGTTTGTTACAAAAAAAAAAAAACAATCTGATGGGTTTACAGAACTTTGTAGACGATATTTAAATAATTCATCGAATTTAAACATACCTTCTTCTGAACGTGATTGAAAGCTGTGAAAAGTGGTTGTCGTGCGGTCTCAAACGGATAGCGTGCTGCCAATGCTCGAACGTAGTAGAATATTACATCGATCCATTTTGACTGCAAAGAATTTGAGAAATTTTCTTGAATGATCTTATAAAACAATAATTACAGTTTAGCAGATATCAAAAAAAATTGAAAAAGCACGTTTATGCAAAACAATGACCTGTGCAAACTCACTCGAACTACGGCTTGATAATAAAAAAGCTATTAAAAACATTGCTAATAGCATTATCAGAAAAAAATTTCTCAAAGGAAATAACAAAGTGGTGACAAGCAGTGCGGACTTGTTTTGGGCGAACGCCCTAAGTATCAAAATCAAATTAATTAAAATCTGCATGATTTATAGTAGATAGTATATTTTAGGTGAATAAATAGCTTTGTATTCACATAACACAAGCAAATAATCTGATGCACACTTATAAGCATCCAGATGAAAATAATAAAAAGCCACAAATATGCTGCAGCTCTGATACAAATATTTATTAATGATGTAATTTGTCTGAAATGAAATAAAAAAAATCCACCTCATACAGACTACGTTCAGTAGTTAGAGAAAAAAACTCTCCTAAGCATAAATCTATCACGGAACTTCACGAAATAAATGCAAAATTATTTCTGTAGGTATCAAAAATTTAACAGTAAAACTGAAAATTAAGAGCGAAATTTTTCTTTATTTACATCAATAAGATCATTTTCATGCGTATTATTCCATTCATATCACCGGTTAATTGAGATATTAATACTACAACAACATTAATGTCCAACAATCAATGCTATATAATCTAAACAAACTTGAACAATTTCTTTTGAATTGACTACTGATCAATCAAGAAAAAAATTTGATTTGATAATTGGATTATGCTAACATATGAGTCAACCAACTGAAAAGCCATTATAAAATATAGATCATGAGAGCTATTTCAAAAATTTAAATACTATTATTGGATTTACATATCAATTAACAGACCTCATAAACAGCAAGGAGAGCCAACTGATTGTAAGAACGCCCATTTCCTGCAGCCAACTGCGCTGCTTTCTGGTACCACCTGAAAATTTGAGAAATTAATTTTTCGAAAACATTAATAATACAGTTAGTATTAGTAAATAGGAAGTTGAAGCAGTTGAGTAAATTTGATTTAAATTGTAATAGTTTTTAACCCACCACTCCTAAATTTTTGTAGAGGTTGGAATCGATAACTGGAAGATTTTGATTATGTCTTATAATATCAAATAAAAAAAATGAAAAGTAGTAACTTACAATCTTGCATGAGAATAATCCTTAATACCCGAAACTATGCTACTGTATCGGTGCAAATCACCAACCGAAACTGCTAATCTCTGGGCGGATAACAGTGCTACCTGAAAATAAAGACCATTTCATCTTCAACCGCGAAGAACGTTTGAAAGAGAAAAGGCGTTACCTGAAGCTGAAAAACTAAGTGTCGAATGGATTTTCATACAGGTATGAAAGAATAACATTTTTGTCGAGACTAACATAAACAATTATTAACGGGTGTTACTTATAGCTTACCTTTGAATTTTTGTTCCTTAATGATCGGCTACTCCGTTTTAATCACAAATAATCAATAGTTGTTACTTACTACTTATTATTAACAAGTCTTAATTTAATAATCTCGGTGTTTACAGAAACATGACATCACTACAAGTTTTTGTTTTTATCCTGAAAAATGCAGCCAAACACTAGCTTGGAAGATTAACAAAAAAAAGAGTAAGAAAAATTAAACATAAAAACGAAGAGAATAAATTGAAAATCATATCGACCTTAATGGCATGATCTGTTGCTTCATGAGCCCTAGAACTAGTTAGTATACATCCAACAAAATCATCTGATGGTAGATTTGAGGGCCAATATAAATAGTCGTCGATAATAAAACCAAATGCTACTTCATATTTATTCAACAATAGTGCATAAAAGGCAAGACCCTGTAAAAAATAAGTCTTTACATTAATCTTCTCATTTTAAATAGATAATAAATTGTATAAATCTAATTAATAAATTGTATAAATAATTAATAAATTGTATAAATCTACATCAACTTTCCTCATATTTATGTTGCATCCCATTTTGCTTTCTTGCTCTTGAGTTTATCTGCTAAGAAAGATAGGAAACAGCCATACCTCCAGCATGAAAGATGTGTGCTCAAATCAACAACTATGATGGATGTTTCTACATCTAATCTTATTAATTTTCGGTTCTCTTAAAAATGTTCCTGTGTTTGCAATTATCACTCCATCAATGGATTAATGATTCCTAAGCCTTCAGTTCTAGGTCACATGGTAGATTCAAGTGATGAGCAAGATAGTTGCATACCACAGCATTAACATATTTGTTATTTATAATTCGCCCAGTTACTGGGCGTTACTGGGTAAATATTTATTTCATATTTATTCGCGTGCAAAAAAAAACTAATTAAAAAGAACAAAAACTAATTAAAAAATGTAAAACCTGCTGGATAAGCTTCGATAAACCTATGCGAAAAATGCGCGACGAATTTCCCGTTGAACTACTAGCAGTGCGCAGGGCTTCTATTGACGTGTAAAAACACTGTTTCCATAAATGTTGCTCCAGATTCATCGTATAGGTATAATTAATATTTCTTGTCACGATTGACAAATAAAGTTTTGACAATGATTCACTGAAATAATTTGGATATGACTACTATTTTAAATTTCAACTTTCAAAGGAAACAAAAGTCCCAGGAAATTTTTTAGGTCTCGGTGACATTTTGAACATTTGTAATATTCCTAGAATGAAATCTTTCGTTAATTATTTTATGTAGTTCATTTCATTAATAACAACCAAATTCATTCATAAGCTTGAAAAAAATTGATCTCCCTAATACTTACTATCAGACAGCGCACAGAGTTAGTTATTAGTTTGGCATTTGTTGCAGTTAGTGACAGGTCCTGAGTCATTATTTTTAGATGTCTTTTACAATATGTCCACATTATAACAGTAAAAATTTTTTTTTATAATGCAAGAAATTGTGGAAAATGTAATTCAACCTAGCTATTAGAATTTCTTCGCTTGCACTTGAATCTGCAGACTCTGTTATTCGGTCGACTAACTGATTGATTGTATCATTTAAAGCCTGAATTTGTGGACCTTCTTTGCATGAAATTTCCAAATGGATTGGCCATTCAGTAGGTGGTAGCTCTCTTCTAAATCTATTATTCTTTTTCAATGATGATTCTGAAATATAGTGGTTTTCAGTGCTTCTGATGTCTTATGCATTTAAACTTCAAGGACTAATTAAAAATAAAATTCGTATAATTCAAATATGCTAACAAAGATATGTGGAATACGTATTTTTAAAAACATGTAATTCTTTTAAACGATAGTAAAAGTCACCACTTGAAGCATCCGTCAAAAGCGTTGCTGACCCATTAGATGATGATGGTGCATCAGAACGTTTTTCTTCCTCTCCAGGATTTCTCAATGCAACGGTTTTCGATCTACTCATATCCTTCATTGTTGTAGGCGAGGTTGCTTTCCGGATATCAGATGCAGAGGAACTGTAAAAATTATTAACAGTTAAATATAAAAGTTTAAAAAAAAAAATTAAAAAGGATAAATTTTTTAATTACAGCAACGAAATCTTTACATAAATTTTATCAACATACCTCAAATTGTTATCTCTGTTACCAATGAGCGTACTGCTGTGAGTATACTGTGAAGTTGCAAAATTGCAGCCACTCACAGCTACTTCTCTTTCTGGATTATGCTGCTTCCTGAATGATACAAGACGGAAATTGTGCGTTCAGATAATATATTAAAAAGTTATCTGTTTTTATACACAAGATTTCTATAATTAAACTTATAACTTCATCAGTGATTAAGAAATTAAAGATAAAAACTAAATGAATGACTGAACAAACACTACGAGACTGAAAATATTTCAATCCTCTCTTTCCAACTCACTGATCTCTAAACTAACCTCATTCTCCATCGATTTCCGCGTTTATTTCGTCCTCTAATTTCATGTCCACCCTGATACGTGTAATTCATAGTAGGACCACCTGATCTGCGAACTAAAGAAATAAAAAAGATAAACTTTATTCTCATTCCGATAATCCAGCTTAAAAAAGTCTTGTCAACATATTCGCCTGGAAAAAAACCTCGGGTAATAAATGGGAATTCCTCATCCAGATAACATCTTCCTTTTCTGCCATTTTTTTGCTCGGAAAAACTTGATGTCGCCTCTCGGTCATCATTGGTTGGTGTTCTTTCACCACTGCCACTTTCCACGTCACTTTGTTCTTTGATACTTTCGGCAATACTTGATGTTTGACTTGTAAAGCTATCTACAAAAAAATTTGAGTTTAAGAGCCTTCGTTGAGAAATGGAGATGAGGCGAAATTAAAAACTTTTAGAGGAAAAGAAAATCACCATTTCGTTGTCTTGGTAGATTATTGGTAAAGCGATGTCCACGTCCGATTGACGGCTCCTTAACATGGCTAGAGTATAAGCGACCAAAACTACTACTACCATTGATACCTCTTGAATGATTTCGGAATTTAGAAAGAGATTCGAGATCACATTGAGATTTTTTACTCTGAGAACTGGAGGAACCTGTTTGCAAACTCTGTTCCTCAATCATGCGTTCTCGCTCCTCCCGTTCCTTCTGAAAATTACAGCAGGATTTCAACTTACGAACCGTTCTAATTCCCGTTTTCTTAATTATATAGCTATAATTAATTACTATGTCAGCCAGAATTTTCAACTTTCAAAAAAGCTACTTGAATGAACGCCATTACTAAAGAAGAAATTTATTCGAAAAAAGTCACCTTCCGCCGTTCTTCAGCTTCTACCTCTGAACTCCAGTCAAATGAAACCAAGTCGATTGAATCAAGACTGGCACATAAATCCTAAAAAATTTTAAAATATTTCCAATGCAGAAAAAAATAATTTACTTCCCTCTACTTTCAAAAAAATAAGAAAATTACTAACAAAATACCAGAAAAAAATATACAAAAAAATATAAAATATAGGAGGATGGTATATGAATAAGCATGTGCCACGCTAAACCCCATGAGAAAGCAGTCAAACTTAAGCTTAAGATTATTTTCTAGATAATTCATATATTTTCTAATATTAAAGGATTAAGATCAAATAATTCTGACTATTTTAAGTGAGTTTCTCGCAATTAATTTTAGTCAAAAAAAGAAAAAACAGCTTTTGAATCAACCTTGAAAATGATTCCAATTGAGACCGAGGATGAAAGTTACTCACTCTTTCTCATACTAAAGACAGCCATAAGGAATGCATTCTTATCTTTATCTTCTCACTTGAAATAATCAAAATTACTCGATCTTCTTAAACTTTCAGTAAGTTTTTATATGCACTACTTCGTAAAAAATTTTAAAAAACCTGAAAAGATATATGGTTTGATACTGCTGAAGATTTCTTCGTCAAACTTTCCTTCCTTTCGGACTCCTAAAGAAATCAAAAACTTCATCAAACGAATAATATGTTCACGCTACTTTCTGTTCGCTATTTCAAATAGAAATGAATAAAAGTATTAAATTGCCCACAAGGAAATCACTAATGATTTGAAATATCATTAATCCAGCACGGGCAGTTTGATCCTTTCATTCGTCGGATGAGTAAAAGTTAAAAGAGTAAAAAAGAAATTTCTTATATATAATTTTGTATATATTCCTATATATGTGCGTACATCATCAAAAAAGTTTTTTTCATGGCAATAATAGTTAGCTTAAATTAATCAGAAAGAGTGTTTGCTAAAGACTGAATAATCCCTTTAAATTCCACTGATTTAGAAAAAAATTTCAATGGACGTTTCATGTTTTGTACTGATTTACACATACTATATAACATAAACAAAAATGAGAAAAAGGAAAGCTGCACTTTCAAACATAAATAACTATTTCATATATGACATATTTAACTGATTTTTAGTTAACAAACCTGATTATTATCTTGTGATATATTATTAGCTCGGTCGACACGATTACTTCTGTTGTTTCGATGGCGGCGATGATCGAAATTTTCTGAATGATTGCTTCTGAAAGACCAATTTCGTCGACGATTCAGTGGACTATGATGCTCAAAGCTTGTTAGACTTGGACCGTTGTCATCAGCGCACAGAGACCCCTGAATTTGAGATCTTTTAGAATAACAACATAAAATTTTCTTAAAAATAACAAATAACATAAAGTAAAGTAATTCCGCACCTTTGTTTCGAAAAATATCTTTATTTTTAGAATCCAAACGCTGGTAGTTGCAAATATATATATATTTAAAAAATCACAAAAAAGAAAAAGGAAAAATAAACACAGAAAGAAATTAAACTCTAAACTTACTTCATCAAAACCATGGCGCGATGGTAGAGTACGAGATTTGTTTGAGTTATACTTTATATCTCCACTACAGTAACTACTGCCTTGCTGCGAATGGTAATGCTGCTGATGAGAACGATATGTCGCTGATAGCGGATACCGTTCCTTCCGATAGCTACTACTTTTGTTCTGAAGAAGTCAAAAAATACGAATTCTATTTCGAACAACGTTTCTCATGAAATGACGGTTAAATTTTTTCATGCACTCTGGATATGTTAGGAAAAATGCATAACATAACATATGGAAAAAATCAGATAATAGCAATTTATCAACACAATTCTACTTTAATATTTTCTATTTTTTCAAACACTGAATGAGTTACACGTTCCTAAAACAAAATTTGAAAAAAAATTAAAAAAGTGTCGAAATATTGAAAAAAATAAACACATCTTTCAATTGTATTAAACTAAAATGTATGTTCACTAATGTTGTATTAAACAATACTTCCTTAACACCTAAAAAAACACCTAAAAATGGCTAAATAATATAAAGCGATAAGCACAATATTATTTTTGTGGCCAAAGCAAAAAGATTTTGGTGAGCCATATGATGGAGGACACATAGCCTCGAATTCAAAGACCGAAGGATTAAGACCAATTTATAAATTAAAATACTAACACCTGGAGAAGTCTTATTTAAATTGAATGCTTCTTTTTGATTCCATGAAGATATTTTGGTACCAAAGCGTGAATTAACAGGGCCGCTATGATGATGTACATCACTGTCTGTAGAGCAACTTTCGGAAAGTGATTGAGAACTCTAAAATATAGCACAAGACATTGTAAGAAACTTTACTTAATTCAGAATATGTTGCTAGGAACTGCTGATGAAAAGAATTTTTTAGAATCTGATAAAAAGCGTAGTTTAGTTTTGATGGAGACGAATAAAGCTCTTCTATTTTCTCTTTTTCAAAATAACGAAAAAACGTGTCACGTGTAAATGACATTAAAATGTAGCCCATGATAAATAAGAAACACCATAAAATTTGATCAGTGTTATATTATGGATCTACGGGTTCAATATGAATTCTGACTCTCCCAGTAGGTAATCTAAATAAACTAAAAAATAAAATTTCTTGAAATTAATTTTTGGGTTAATCCAACTAAGAAAATTAAAATCTATACCTAAACTTCATTCATAAAAATTCGACAAAGAACAAGTAAAAAGAAAAACATAAAGGCAAATTTAATTACTCATGGAGATGAAAGTAAGAGGAACAAAAAACATACATAGCAACTGTTAGAACTGGAATACATTCGTCTACCAGGTCTTCTTTTTGGAGAACCTGGATTCTCAAGATGATCGCATGATTTGTTAATGCTGCTGTTGCTTTTCCGTAATGATTCGCTGGAATTCGCTTCTATTTTGTATGTACCATTATTTGATGAACCTTTACTATTGCGCTGTCGACTGCCAACATGAAGATTCAAATTAGCATAATCTGAAAGAATATGAAATTCAAAACTGTCATCAGTCAACATTCGAAAATACAACAAAGCGAATTCAATAAATATTTCCTTGAATATAATTGTAGAATATTTAGAGAAATAAAGTGGGTTAAAAAAATATATGTCTATTCTGCATTTAAAAAGAGTGGAAAACTTTTTCACTTTTCAATGTTTAGTGAACTGCAATATTCTCTCTTACCTAGTAGAGGATGAAGGGAAGTAAATCGGTAAAGTAAGTTAGAGTAGATCATTGAAAAAAAACTGAAATCTCAAAGTGAAGTGCAATAAACTGCAAAAGACAATTGATCTAACATAACTGGAATAAAAATATCCTGAATCTGGCTAAATTCATATGAAACTTTGAAGTTTAAATTGTTTTACCATTTCTCTTAAGAATATAGTGACGTTCATCGTCATCACACTCTTTCCATAACATATCGCTAATAAATTCGTGATCATGTGTTTGGTCTTTCCAGTTTTCCTTTTTTTTATCATTTTCTTTGTCATTTTTGGAACCTGAAAATGTTTTTTCTTTGTCATTTGTCATTTAGTGGTAGGGGAATTAAAGTTTGGATGATATTTCCTTAATTTCGTGGAACCTTATCCAAATCTACAACATTCATCCGGTTTCATCATCTTTTGAACATAAAGATAATGTGCAAACACAGCTCTTTCTCAAAATTTTGCACTGGAATTATTTAATTACGCTGTATAATGTGTAACTTAATTTGATGTTACTAAACAACTGAAAAAAATAAAATATACCTAAGTGAAAAGATTCACATAACCCTTTGGTAGTAAGAAAATTAAAGATAGCATATCTAGAATCGGTATTCTAAAAATTCAAGCAAATCTGGGTATGAGATAATGCAAACGCAATGAACTGAATGCTCAAACCGTCTCTACTCATCAATTTTTTTCCGTTTTTTCTTTTTTTAAATGTCATTTGTAACCGTTCTATAATTAAATAGAAATGAGATATTTATTAAAATTCTTTCGAAATTAATGTTTTGCTATATTAATTTCCTGCTTACTTTTTCATGAAAGCCAAAATTTCAAATTTATAAAATCTACCTTTCACAGTATTCGCTGACTTCATCGGCTGTTGAATATTTATATTCTTTTCTCTAGCATCAGCCTTTTTGCCAGCTGCAACGGTTCTCAGCATTCTGGGACAGTAAAGCTGGATGGTAGGGCGAGCCTTCCGTGTGTTGTCATTTCGCGTTATTTTTAGCGAGTTTTCCGACATCTGCCCATCAAGCAAATAGCAATAAAAATTTATCCTCTTAAAAATAAAAACATAAGTCATTTGTTTTCCATGTGAACGTGGGAACTTCAAACTTGAAAATATAATTTTTTAAAGATCTTGAAGAAATTTTCAAGATTTATGCTCTAGTGCCAGCAATATTGTTGACAGTCGTCCTTCTATGATGTCATTATTATAAAAGACTTTTTTAATATCATGGCTACAATTATTCAATTACTGCAATGAATATACAAATTCTCTCAATTGTACGATTAGTGTTTGGCATATATAAATACCAGACTGGATAACGCAGCTATCAGTTAAATCAAAAAGTAGGGACGATATTTTACATGAAGAAAGATGAATAATGTATGCAGAAGTCATGTAAAAAAATGAAATAACACTGTGAGATATAAAAAAGCAAACATGAAAAAAGGTGATATTGTCAAATATGAAAAAGCAAGTATAAACTATGTTCAATTTTTATAACTTAATACTTTGATGATGAGGAAACCATAAACAAGACATCCGGATTAACTTCTACTAAATAACTAGCTATTAACTCTGTGCTATAAAGAGATCACTTAGATCATTTTTGCTAAATATCAAACCTCTGTTCACCCAGTCGGAGCAACTTATGGCAAATTCACTTCAGAAACCAAACGTTGTCCAATAAAGTGACGATCAAGTTTTAGCATCTTAAGCCAGTTCTCTTATTATTGCAATTATTTTAAAAGAAATGAGAGCCACCTCATATCAAAGAAATCCGAACCGCTCTCAAGCCTACCCGCCGATCGCCTGACCTCTATCCAAATAACTCTACCCGCCTTCACACCTTCACTTCCAGGCAATTCTCCACGGAAAACGAATGAAATTGTTAAATCCATCCGCAATAATTACCATTGAAGTCAGTTCTCGCAGTGCATTGTAAATGGGTGCTTGTAATGATCAATGCTTTTTTTTTCGTAAAAGATCGGATACAGCGATGAACAAACCCAGAAATAAAGCCTGACTGAATTAATGAGTCAAAATCTAAATTTAATCGTTGCAAAACAAAACCAGGCAAATTTTCTTATTATTTAAATGAGCACAGTCATATCTTTGAACTGGATAAAGTGTATATGATCGGAAGCATATTGGTATATATATATAAAGACGAAACGAACTGATTTATTTGTTTTTAGCGAAGTTTCAAATTTTAAATTCAAATATTTTATGTTCAGTGAGAAGAACGGTTTGTTGTCAAAGTTCCTCTACATTATCCCATTATTTCACGGATGCATTCCTGTTGTATTATATTTTTTCGAAATACAATTTACAGTACTTTGTGTCGTTTTCCGCACGATGAAATAATGATATGTGTGAAAGAACGGTTTCATTTAATAAAGTAAACATTATTTGAAAAAATGAGTTCTTTGATGACGTACTGTAAACGATCGAAGATTGAGTTCTTTTGCTTAGATTGCTTGGAATGTTAGCGTGTAAAAGACTGTCAGTTCACATCGGTTTTGCGCTTGGCCATTTCTTTTGCATTTTAGAACTTTTTTTACTCATTGAATTAATAATGCAAAGTTGCAGTTGAGATAAAAGTAGGACTGTGTGTGATAGTTATCATTCCTGTTCTTATATTTTCATTTTTCGGAAGTGTTTGAAGTCGAGATAGTATATTTTTAGCAAATAATAGTATGCGCTTATTAAGTGCAGCTTATTATTCAAACCCGAAAAAAAAGTGATCATATGGTAGTCTTGGGAGTGTTGAACCGAGGATTTCAATGGATATCCAAGATTGGTCATAGCAGGACTCAGTTGCAAATAGCCAAAAGATTATCCTACAGAATTCGATACCAGACCTTTTTGAAATCAGATTTTTTCTTAATTTAGTGCGAAAAATACATATGCAACTTATGAAAATTATGTTTCCAATAAACTAAAATCAATCCGTTAAAACGACTGCTTCCCATGTCACGGAATTCTCAATAATTGTTATTGTAAATTCTTGTATGCACTCGAAAATTCCAACAAACCCGAAAAATAAATTTTTTTTTCGAAGATAAACGATGACGAAAGAGATGTAGCTGAAATCAAACTAAATGTTGAGATACTTCAGAAAGGATAATCTAATAAAATGGAGTGCTTTGAATAAAATGACACATTAGGGTGAAAGCTGTATATGAGTATCTCAACATTTACATTTTCATCCCAGATGATATTTAGGATTTGTTATACTTCTTTTGTTTAGCTGACGATTAGTGAACTGCCAATTTTCTCACTACGATTAGTGAACTTTGTAACTCAATACCTGTGTAGAAGAAAAAAATCATGGAATCTTTATTCATTATTTTAATTAATTTTCTTCAGCTTCACTTTGAACTAACAGAATAACATGCACCATAATACTCGCGAACTGTCAAATCCATTTCATACATTCATGTATCAACACCTTTTATTGCAACATGAAAACTTCTTCAAGTGCCTCAGTTTACTGCTTGCTGTGGCAAAATTTTCATTAAGTTATTTTTCAAGTCGCTTCAAAATTCCGAGAATTTATCACTATTTTTGAAGTCAAAATTCTGAAAAGAAAACAACGCTGATCAACGCTGATACCATTGTGATATGCTTCTAGTTTTAAAATCAAACAACCGAGCGAAGACAAGATTTTTTCAGAAAGCATAATCGAATAATTAAATGGCATCAGCAATGACTAAATTCATGGAAGATTAATACAAATATACATTTTTGAAGGATCCTATTTATAACATCAACCGAAAATCAGAATTTTCAGAGACTTTAAAAAAAATTTTTTTTGATTTATAAACAATCAATTCTCATCCACCAGATGAAATTATTTATTTTAAAAATGAATAGATAAGTTCTTAGGCTTTGCCTTTTCTAATTTGCCTTCTAATTCCTATTGTTTCCTTCCTCTTAAAAAAATTGTAAAAAAGTTTGCAACACTGCTAATAAAACTGAAATTTAAGATAAGATTTAAAAAAACAATGAAAATATCTTAAGAATGAGTAATATAACATTAAAAACAAATTTAGCGAAGCGTTTCAATCAATAAATAAACGATGGAAGACCGCAAATGAAAGGAAATGGGTTCCATTAATGATTTTAAATTCTGGAAATGAAAAAGTACTATTCAAAATAAGAATTTCAAAAAATGATAGAAATATCGCAAAGCATCAAATTTTTCTCTCTGGCAGTAGCAGTCACAAATAAGATGTCACTGCAAGGTATCACCACCAGAACGAATGCACTCACTATAAAAAGTTAGACAAACCGAAAGAAATCTTTAAAAAAAAATGTTTAACACGAAGCCGAATATAGTCATGAATTATACAACAAGAAGTGCGATACGTATTTTTTGAGGCGACACATATTTCTAACAAAATTTTCGAAAAATTAAATGTAAGACCACAAATTTCATTCTTTTCCGTCTCTACCGTTATTATTTCTTCCTTTTTTCTCTTGTTTTTTCCTATCATGCATGTTAAGTTTGTGTCTGCATGCCACTGCTGTTAGCACGATGAGCGTTAGAAAATAAAATGGATACAAAAAACATACTGAGAAAGGTGAGTAGTAACAAAGAAAAGCGGTCCGTATATTGTGGATACAGGAATACAAATGTCCATAATATCAGGAATTTTACTGAAACAAACAAGAATATTTTGAAAGATATTCTGCCAAAAAAAAGCAAGTGAATCTCAGATGAATGTTATGCATAGTTAGATTTAATATTACTCTTGTTTTTATTCACTCAGTCAAATTTGCTTCTTGAAAAAGAACATCACTCAAGTGATTTTTAAACAAAGATTGTAAAAATCGTGTGCACAGGATAGCAGTCTAGACTCTATGCATTTCTTCCATCTCTATTGGGATGCTTTCATCAGAAAAGGAAAAATGATGACAAAAGTTCTAACAATTTACGGAACATTTACAAAAAAATTATAAAGCATAGAAAATTTTTAAAATTTCCAAAAGCTATTAAGCTTACCAATGAAAATAACTTGGACATATTGGCCAATACGACCTCCTACTGCATTCTCATTTTGATTCCATCCATTATCTGCTGCTGCATCAGCTGCCGCATCCAATGATGCACCTCTCACAGCCGTTACCCCTGGATCCGGGCCCATTACTGCATTATAACCATAACGAGAAATCCGCAAGAAAGCGTTTCGCACTCGTATTAATCTAGAAATGATGATTAATTTGTCACTTTAATACCTATAATGCAGCAAAAATCATGAAACAAGAGATTTAACAGTTAAGTGCAACTAGTCAGTTTGCAAATTACTCTGGCAGAAAATTCCAATGAAAAATTCCTGTTCAATGGATGATGGTTTTACCTCACCTTTCCCCAGTATCTTTTGCTTCATACATATATTTTAAGTTTTAGAATCATCTTTGAGAATTGCCTGACAGAAACCCAATACTTTTCGTGCTCAAATGTTGTCGAGAACTACAAGTCTATATTTCTGGAAGAAGACAATACATACATTGAATCATTCTGATTGTCTTCTATAGAATGACCTCGAAATGTTTGAATAATAGTTCGAGTTAATTCTTCTCCTACATTGGTTGACACCGACTGCGAGCCAGCTATAGCTGCAATAGCTGCTGCAGCTGCCCCATTGCTTATATCTAAAAATATCTTGACAGATTAATCCCTGAATCAGCAAAACTTATTAAACTTTCAATTTGGTCGTCTTTTTCTTCTATACAAACTTGCTGCACTTTTCTTAATGTTCTTATTCCTCTAAATGAATTAACTAAATCAATTGACATATACAAGTGGAATTCGCTATACAAACAAAAAAGTCAGTTATACGTATTCAACTTTGTGCTAGAGAAAATATGTAGCACAGACAAGCACAAAGACAAAATTCTTATTTGCAATCATGAATGATTGTCTGGGACAAATCATGTAAAAAGTGAGGTTTCAGGAAGATTTATATACTTTGCATCTTATATTTTCTAAAGCCCCTGAATATTTTTAAAAAATCAACTTAAGCTGTTTTTATGATATTACATTTCTGAATATCGCTAAATCTAAATTTACTAATATTCGGAAATACAATATTGTAAAAATGAAATATGCTGGAAAACAACAAATTCTTCAATGTTTCAAGCAGTTTCTGAATTCTGCCATGCAAATATATAAATTTAAAAAATGCCCGTTTTTAATCTCACAAAATAAATCAAAAAGAATTTCCATACCAGAAGATTCGTGTGATAAAACAGTGTTATTCGGTGCGTTTGAAACTGACGAAGAAAGTTGCGCATAAGGTGTAGAACTGACATGACAGTGTACAACGCACTGATCATGTAAACCATAGCTTAATAATGATCGTGTATCATCTCGTAATAACTGCCCGCGATAAATCAGCCGTACTATTTTTCCAGCAAGTATTGATTCCCAGAAGTAACGCCTAAAGTTATCAGAAATTACCACGGCTTTGAAAGTCATTATTGAATCTCTGAATATAAGAAATTTGAAAAATCTAATATCAGCCTTCACCACCAGCCCAAAGACATCGATGTCGTTGCAGATTTAGTACCTTGTTCTAGTTGGTAATATGATGAGTGCAATGCGTCCATTAGGTCTGGACACTATCTTGAAGTGTTCCCGAGTTTTTGAAATATAACTCTCTAAACATGAAAAATCCTAATCTGTTTATAATTGAATTGAATTAGAAGCATATCATTTTACAATCCAATAAAACTCTCCAACAAAAAAGCAAAGTATAATCAAATAAACATATATGCGAAGAATTCCACTACGAGCAATCCAAAAATCATTAGTAATCCAAAAAATTGATTTGCAAAGAGATGAACTCAAAAAACTAAAGAGAACCTTTTAAACTGTCCCACAGTGGATTCCAATGCTGTACAAGCAATAACCTGAGAATCATCCAGAAATTTTAATTTTACATTAGATAACTGACGTCCAGTATTATCCCCTTCCACTCCTGCAGCCAATTGATGAGCTGAATCTAAAATTTTTGGCTTTGCAGAGACATCATTCGAGCATCCAGCTAAAACCAACGAAAATATAATTTTTTTTTTACATTTTTTGAAAATTTATTTTTCGTCCGCAACTCATTTAAAAATTTGCTTAGCAGAAATTCGGAAATATTTCATTTCTGTTCATAAAATCTTCTAATGATACTACTTCGAAACAAATATTAGAGAAGATATGCATGTATGTATGTATGTAAAAAGATCAAAAAGTATCAGAAATAAGAGGTGATTTCAATAATTATCATTAAAAATCTATTAATTTTCTATATTCATTTAAACGATTGGTTTACTGATGAATTGCTATCTTAAAAATTTACTTGCTACAACAGAAGATAATTCGCGTTTTGTATCAGTAAGTGAATTCTTTCCATTTCCAGCCTGAATTAAGAAATATCTTATACCGGTGGCATTACTCTTTGGACATGGTAATTTACATATAGACTTGGTCAGGACTATTGCGATCATTAAGATCGGCTTGGAATAATGATCTCATTATGCGAAAACATGCCAACATATTTTTCTTCGTTTTGGGTTCAACCCATATCTACACTACTTTACAGAGCTAACATTTACAGTCCAACTACTAGCAACTTGTTTCATGCAAACTTAATATCAATAAGAAAAATGGCGTCTTGCTTGAAACTTCTGCGACAGTTACCAATGTTTTAACATAGTATAATTGATATACTTATTTCTTTTCCTTTTTTCTAACTAAATTTTCGAAAAAACAAACTTCTGCCCAGTAGATAGTTGAACTTACTGAAGATGAAATTGAAAGATCTGAATCTTGTTGCCAATTACCAGTTTCCGTCTCAATATAAGTTGCATGCAATAAGTTTTCTGTGTTTTCTGCTAAACTGATCGGCTAAAATGTCGATTGTTTTAAAGGTAAATACTTGGCGAGTCTAGAAATAACAGCAGTTGTTTCTTTCACCATTCTGTAAGTTCTTCTGCTACACTTTTTATAAGTGAAAATAGTGCCTTTCTATGCATTTTCTTTATAGAATGTATTTATTTCTGCCTCAAATATCATTATTACAGATTTCCAACCAATCGAAATTCATTTACAAACAAAATAATCTGAAACTTAATTCTCTCAAAATAAAATATTTCCGTAAAATAAAAGCAAAGCAAAATTAAACTTGCATATGCAACAAATTGAGGCTATGTTGGTACTGAACCATAAAAAATAAATATTAGTGTAACAATTTAAAAAACCTAGATCTAATGGGTAACAAAAACCTGTTCTGCTTGCGATATTTCTTGCGCATGTAACGGAGTGTCTTCACTTCTGGAAAAAGAAGAAATTGCCAAAGTTTAAATGATGAAGGAATAGTGTTTCCAACAAATTTTACAAAGAACTCTGAATAAATCATCGGAAACAGGATTTTTAACAAATGAAGTTTTTTAACTCTATTAATTTCGGAAAATTCAATTAAAGTTTCGTTCACAAACACATCTTTTACGCAGATAAATTTATGAAATTACTAACGTTTGAACTTGCGCCATTTCCACTGCCTGAGGCAATACTATCTCCTGGGAAGTATTACTTTGTTCCATTACAGCACTGTCCATTAAAGCTTCAAGTGCTTGTTCTGTGACCGCACCAAAAGGTCTTTCCGCACGATCCCGAAATAAGTTGACTTCTTGATTATCCACTTGTAACACCTAAGTTCGTAGCAGAGAAATTATTTTTTTCCTAGTGCTATATTTCTGGAACCATTCCATTTATTATTAAAGACCAACACAAGTCGTTGCTAGACAAACAATCAGGCTTTGCAATTAAAATTTGAATGAAACTTTATATCATTATATCTTTTAACGAATTCCAAATATTCTAGCGAAATGCTTCGAAATCAAATAAATCACCTGAACGATTCTTCTGTTGGGATGAATTTGCATTTGAACGAGCCATACATAATAATCAATTGGTGGTATGCCAGTACTAATCCAAGCTAGTGATATTAATACGATAACAATTATTGCTATCAGAAACCAAATGACCTGAGAAAATTTCGTTCTGAACGAAATAATAAGTTTGAGATCTATAATTTTCTAAAATATTTCAATAAATTCTTTCTTAAGCCATGAAAGAGCTATTCCTTTCCTTTAGATATCAACAAAACTCAATCCCTCTACTCTTTTTAACTATTGCAATTCAACAAATTATTTTGAAATTACTCCATCCTAAAGCTAACAATCAAAGCAACTATTTGCTGTGCTTAAATGTTTGGATGATATTTGGATCAAAATTAATTAACCTCATCGCCGATGCCTTCAATAAAGCCAGCCATGCGATACGTGTGCTATAATGTAAGCCGAAACATCATGACAGTAATATCCTGAAATGCAACACAGAGCATCTGTATCGATTCAAACTCTCGCTAATTTTCCCGAACACCACCCCTTGTGAAAATTCGATTGCTTACTTCAACCGGCATCAACATTTCCTAAGGTCCCGTTGAAATTTAACGATTCCGTACCGTCACACTTCAAGAGATGGTGAGATAAAACGATGATGCTTATATTTGGTGGATGACGGTGGAAGAGAAAGAAAGAAGGAGGAGAACTGATGCAGGAATTATCGGGAGGAAAAAAAAGAATAGTCAGGCCTGCATTAGTTCATATTGCGCCATCCATTCCACTTTAACCTGTTATTAAAGTCTTTTTAAATAAATTACTGCTGCAATGGTATTTTGATTATCAATCAATTAGAAGAAAACGATCAATCAATAATTTCCTATATATCATATCATCCTATCGTTAGAAATCACTAAAGACCTTAATAATATTGTATTCTGTTTCCTTCAATATCAGAATGTAAACAAGCGGTTGAATTCTCATTCAAGATTTATCAAAAATTGACTCATAGTTGTAAAATATTTAATGAATATGTGGACGCATTCAAAGATCATTTTACTACAAAAATTCAAGCGTGTGGTGGTTTTCCTGTAAAATAGTTTTGCATTATTCCCAATTATGAGGGCACATCATGTGCTTCTTTGTTTGAGAATTCTGATGGTAGTAAGTCATTTTTACTATTTTCAAGGGAAGATTCGACTGATATGATGCAACTGTTATCATTTATTGCAATTAATTAAAATTTCTTGTAAGCATTAATTAAGGTTTAATCGATTGTTCTATAGCAGATTGAAAAATCATGACAAAAACTTCCTCTCTCTATGTTTTCCAGATTATTTTCCTAACTTTCTCTTCAATCAATTATTAACTAATTTACAGTTCTTCTGTGTATGGGTGTTAATCTGTGGAGCAATTATGGCATCACATTATTCATATGGCAGTCGTGAAACATTGATCATTGCCATAATATTGGATGCATTATTGATGGTCTTTTGTATTTTCTTGATTGTCGATGTCTTGAAAAAATACTATCTCCAATTTCCAGTGGTATTATATGCTTATCTATTAGTAAAAACATAAGAGTATTTTTTTAAAAAGTGTTACGTGTAAAATTATATGAACAATTTACATGCCGATTAACAGCACGATTGTGCGCATTAAACTTCACCGAGTTGCATTTAATGTGATTAGAAAAACTAAAATAACAGAGATGTATGGCATGTAAATTAAAAAATATCAAAACATGATATATATATATATATATATATATATATAAAAACCTAATGATATCAAAACTTATCCCATATCTATTATTGCAAAACTAGTTGAAACAGAAGCACTGGATTGGTTCAATACTTTCTATCTTTTTATCCTATCGCTTTATCTGAATGCTTAAGGAGCAAATGTTAAAGTTGCTAAAAATTTGCTCACTTTGAAGGATTTAGCTGTCATAGTTTGGAATCAACTTCACAGCTCTTTGAGTGTGAAATTACTAGATAACTTATATTCTGAGATTATCAAACTTTTGTAATATTTACTTTGGCTTTAAAATTTAACTTCTGGTTGCAATTTTTGAATAAAAATGGGATGAAATTAGAATATCTCATTTATTTTAACTAAAGGTGATGATTTACTTAGATTAAATTACACATTGGCAATCAGTCTAATTAGTTTTGCGTCATGTAATGACTGCTACTAAAAATGGCAATAGTGATTATTGAAAATTTCCTTTTTCTATCCCTGCAATTCATGCATCTATCTTCAATAACTATTTATTTTAAATTATTTGATACATGGGATAATCTAATCGTATAATCAAACTGTCACTAGGTTGAAGAATAAATTTGATAAATGTAGCAACTTATACGTCGATCGTTCGAGAAATGATAGTTCATCTCACATATCAAATGATCATTTCAGTTGACATATATAACATCAATAGCTGTTATTGTTGCCGGAACCGTCGCATGGATGATCACCATATCGGCAACAATTGATATAATGGCAGCTCTAACCATCGTAAGTTTTCATTCTTTTGAAGTTTATAGTAAGGAAAATTAAATCCTCTTTTTTTTCTTTTCCACTTCTTTTTAAAAACTATTAGTATGCATCATTTTTATGAATTAAAATCAGCGAATGAAAAGTCACTTTTTTTAATATGATTTTACGACCGAAAGAAAGAAGGGTAGAAAATTTCTGGAAACGAAAAAAAGTAGACTTCAATATTGAATAATATTGATGCCATCTTTAGGGCAATGCATGGCACACAGTAACATGTCTTATGATGGATTCTATGACACAGTTACATGCAAAAGGTCTAGGACAAATTTTTTATACTCAAACTTCATCAACACAAACACGTACTGGAAGCGCCGTAGTATAATACAATCGACGTATTTATATCAATGATAGATAGCAATATACCTCGTTGTCACATTCTCATTTACTTTGCTCATGAAAATAACTTTTTTGAATCGGTTCTAAATGATTCCATAGACAAAACGTAAAATTATAGCACTTCGCTGTTTGCTTTGTATACTTGTCATTCAGTAGCATGAAGTGTACATTACGAGTTACGTATTTTTTGTGTCATATTCTAATTCCACTACACCTTTATTTTTTTCTTTTTTTGAATAAATGAAGTTGCACCTTAACAATATTTGGTTTACATGCAATATCATGGAAATTTTCGAAAATACTGCATTCTAAATAATTTACTTTCCATTCAGAAGCTTGGAATAATAAACACAAAACTATGTGTTTGTTTTATAAGTAAACATTCTGAATGAATGAATAGGAATGGAGAATAAAAAAGAAAAGGCAACATAAATAAACGAATATGTCTGTTTGCTAAATAGGCAAGCAAATGTGAATTTTATCCATCGCTATTAGATTAAAAAAAATTTTTTCGAATATGTTACTCATTTCGAATTGTTTCACTGTTGTAACATATGTTAAATTTAAATTATTTTTTTTCAAAAATTACACCCTAAATGATTCAAATAATTTTTAAATTTCCCTGTTGACCAAAATTACTTGATTTTCTGAAACAGCAGAACTTCGGAGCCGCTAAGAATCCCCAGCTTGCCAGCATTAACAATACTGTTCACTGTGCCAGCCAGAAATATTCGTTTAAAACGCAGAAATCCTCTAGGCATAATATGTAGTGTTTGTGCAATCGAAATTATCCAATCAATCAATGACGAGCTGCAATTAAGTGTTTTACATTTCTCCTTGTGAATTTCATAGTACTTAAAAGAAAATTTAAAAAATAGTGGAGTTAGTGAATAATCAGTGCTACATCCTATTTTTTTCTTTTTCATTTGTGTTAGTGTGAATGGGCCCTCAAGGAGATGAGATGTATTCAAACGTTAAGATTTGATCATCCACTGATCATTATTGTTTCCTTACAGTAATAAATATTCATTTTTATTCTGACTGGGGAAATTAAATCAAATTAAAGAATAGGAAGATATAAATGACTGTGACCATTCAAGAAATTATTTTATTAAAAGAAATGTATAAAGTCTCAATCTATGTAAAAGGGAGGTACTGTTTGTTTTTAAAGATAACGGATATGAAGAAAATCTGACAAACAAACTCATGCTGAAAAAATCGTGCTCATGCTGCATGTTTTCAAAAATATGGATGTGAACTGGGCATTCTTTACCCGCGAAATGAACTTAAGCAGTGAGAGATAATTTCATTGTATAAAATCAATATCAATAAAATTCCATTATAAAGAAATTTGAAGCAAAACTAACTTAATAAGCCACATGAACAAAGGAGAATGGGAAAAGCAAAAGTAGTAAGGATTTCCAGTTTCTCGGTCAAGATCGATATTTTCTATCAATTCCAAACCACAAAATTTTGCCGCACTTATTGTCTCTTCCCTGGAAATGTAAATTTCAAAAAACAGATTCAAAGATTGATAAAACGATGTATTGGAATACTTCGTCACCCTTGACTCCAACTTTCCATCAATAACAACAGCTGTGTATTTTAACATGAAACTATGAAGTTGAAGAACATGCTACAGTACTTTTAACAGATATAAATAGGTCATTAATCAACCAAATATATGTTAAAAAGTTTACTTTGTGTGTAAAGGAGGCATACCGCAAGCATACTCCAAATTCTTAATAATCGTTTTATGTTCCTCTGAAGAAGAATGATATTTGTCAGTTTTTAGTAGATCATAAACAAGGAAAAATCCCCCCGGACGCAAAATCCGATTTATTTCTTGTAGAGCTGGTTTCAAATCCTCCAAATATTTCAATGCATAAACCTGAAAAAATATATGGAATCTTAGATTGCAATTTCCCGGTGCACTTTCTGCACCAATAAATTAGTGTGGAAAAAATAATGAATTGATTGAATATTGTGACAGAATTTTCAACAAAGGCAAACATAATTCAGGGGGTAAAATGGATCATTTGATGGTTCTGTGGTTATCAATGTATGCTAACATTGCTTTCAACTCAGAAATCATTTTAATTATATAACTCATCATACGTCATTTTATTAAATATAATGATCAGAATTTGAGATATAGCTCAGTATTTCTCTATCACGGCAGATAAAATATTCTTAATTAAACTTACCGCATATGCACAATCATAATGACTATCCATCAATGGTAAACAGCAACAGTTCCCTTGCACAATGCAGCAATTATCGAGACCTTCATTCCGGAAGCGTTCATTTCCAATTACCACTTCATTCCCTACTATTGTCACACCAGTCAAATCAGCTCCGGTAATAGCTAAATCGTGCATAACACCACCAATGCCACATCCAATATCTACACATTTTTTACCTAAATTGAACTTTATGATCCGTTTGACAGATCACAGTAGTCATACCAAGTATCCTCGTCAAACTGCTCAAATGTATATGATACCTTTGGTAAGTTTCAAACAGTGGCCAATTCGCTCATGAAGTTCTTTTAGTGCATCTGTCAGTGATTGCTGTTCACGTCGAGGTGGTGCAAAATGAAAACTCCCACTGAAGTATTCATCGATAATGACGGACATGACGGAATAATAGTGCATCGTAACCAACGAATAGTCCGATTTTGCTTTTGCTTCTCTGTACAATCGATCATGTTCTTCAGCAAATATTTCCTGAATTTCCTGTCATTATAAAGGATAAGATTAAATTTTCTGAAAGAACATTAGGATATTTTGAAAAATCAAGAAATCATAAAGCGTTCCATGCCCGCAACTACCATACTCAAAAAACCTTCTTTATTTTGTTTTATTTCGAATTCAGTTCTTTCTCCAATATTTCGTTTGTCTTAAATACATGGCAAGTACAAGGATAGACATCAACTTTTATTTCATTAATAGATAATTTCAAATGAAGTTATATTATCAACAGGAAGGACTATCGAAAATGATAAATGACTAATCCAGAAAACTATGTAACAAAAAAAAAATCATTTAAAATATTCAAGGTGCATTTTATTTAGAATCACAAACAGTCCGAATGAAGGAGCAATTAAAAGGATATAAAGTGATGGTAATGGTGATTCGACATCGTAAATACATCCGACTCGTAAATTTACTAAGTGATCGCTCATTTTTGAATTGAAATTCAACAATCTTTCCTGTCTCGAATGTAAGTACCCTTTTACATGTCATGTAAAAACATAAATTCATGAACTTAATGAAAGTACCCTTTTACGTATCATGTAAACATAAATTTATAAACTTCAAATCACTCTAATCCAAAGCATCAAATGTTTAAATTATTAGCAGCATCAAATATCTATCTGAGAAAAAATCCCTTCAAGAGAAGAAATTACAGATATTTAGGAACTAAATTCTTTCATTGAATTATATAATAATATTGCCCATCTATCAATTTCTTGCAGCACTTTTGCCAGTTAATTCTTATGATTCTCTATTCTGGTTTAAGTCGATTCTATTAACAAATTGTATGATCGTCTCAGAAATAAGATTTTAGATTGGAAGGTAATAGAAGCAAAAAAAGATTATCAATTAGTAAAAATTTACAATTATCTCTTTATCAAGCGTTTTTCCATAAGAAATTACACAACTGTATTTTCATTTGATTTTGTCAAAATTTGCGCTCATATTCTTAGACTTAAAAAAATCTTAAGTTTATCAATGGTTAAGTATGCAGATGATTTCATATACAGATTTAAACAATTAAAAGATTTGAAATTCTCAATGCAACATGGAAGACGGTACAATAAAAAAGCTTCTAAAGATCTTAAAAAATCACTGAATCTCGTACTCTCCCTTCAATTTCAATGAAACTATGGAAGTGCTTTATTTGACAGAAAAAAGCAAGTTACCAAATCTTCTCGTCGAAAATGTCGTAGTAATTTGAAAAACTTCGATGTTAAATCAATCGACATGATGAACAGAATATTGTATCACGCAATGGTCGCTTTTCTGTAGACAAGAGAGATTTTGTGGAGTGATCATGAAAATTGGTATCAATATGGCATCGAAACATTGCCATGATTGTAACAGTGTTACCCCTTATCACTATGCAAAAACAAGGACAAAACTATGGAGGGCGTGCAGATATATATACATATACACACAAACACACACATACACACACACATACACACACACACACACACACACACACAATCTACAAGAAATATTACAACTGCGACATAAACGTCTTATACAAAGGGAACACAAGAAAATCATACTTTTAGTTCCCCATCATCTTCTAATCTTCAAAAAGCAAAATAATGGAGGAACTTGCAATCGATCGCAAGAACTGAATAAATGATTTCTTTCATCAACGTATGCATGCCAAAGCAAAGAAACAATCCCTACTTTTGCAAATTGAAACAATAAACTTCTTTTCTTAAAACATTTTGTTTATAATCCGTAAATTATTAAAAATATTCGGATGAATATACATTCCTGAGTACAATGTGTATACATATTTGTCTAGAACACTGATAAGTTGGAAACAGAAAAACTGATCACTTTTAATTGTTCGCGTTGGAAAGAGGTAAATGAAGGATCAGTGTTTTGGTGAGTGCAGCAGCACGGACACTGCTGTAGCCCTGAAAAAAAACTTATTTACATATAATTATAAAATCATGACTTCGTGTATAGCAAGTTAATCTTCAAATATCTCAATTTTTTTTCGATTTATATAAATTCAATTAAAATCCACATTGGCATAGCTGTTAATTAATTTTGATCGCAGAACTATATTACTGTAAACCAATAAAAAAAAATTCATGAAAAAAAAAATTCAGACATGCATATTGGAGAAAAAACACAGGTGTTCCTGGAATACATGTCGGCCACATTTTGGACGAATTGGATTGAATAAAAACTAACTAACAAATATTAGTCATAAGAAACACAACTTCTATATCTAACCATTTCTTCCCACAGGGAAAGAATTTATAAACCAAATCCCCCACCTGCCACATACGACTAGCACGGCTTTGTCCATGTTGATAATCTGCAATACCACGGATCAATGCCCAGCTATCAATTCGTGAGCCATTTATGGCAGCAATAACGGAATCGAAGCCAGCATCAACAGCACGTAAATTATGATTTGTGGCGAATTTGTCACGCAATTGAGCCGTAGCACCGCTCGTATCTTCACCAACCTCAAATAAATTGCTCTAAGGGCCTATTGGCAATTTTTTCTGTATCTCATACTTTGTTTCAAGCCGATCTTATCACTCTTCTCTGTTCTCTTTTCAAACGCTTTGCTTAAAAATAATAAGTTCCACTCTGTATAACAGAACTGTCAATTGGAGTACTGATTTGTAAGTTTTAAAATAAAACTATAGACATATTGAAATGAGGAGGAACGAAAAACGGGAAATTTTGGCAAAATAATCGCTAAACCCAACAGATCTAAGGAAAACATTCTAAAAGAAATTTTACAAAATAACCTGCTCTTCATTAGTAAATGTCTGCTTTTTATATGAAACCATTGCTCCAATGGAACCAACATGGACTACCGAGTTAACTCGTTCTGAATTCGGATGTGGAATGACAACCACCTGCCCACTACCTGGAACAAAAAAAGATTCACTCCTATAGCAGTATAAATCTCGAACACTGACTAGGAATCTAATCAATATGTCTTCATTTCTACAATTTTCAGAACTTGCAAATTCTCCTTTTTCAAAAACCACATACACTATTTATCTTGATTTGAAATCAAATTAATTAGCTTCTCTCTGTAACTTATCTCACCTACGGGCACAGCCAATAGATCGGCTTGGGGTGGCGGTCTTGAAAAACTCATGTCGCCATTGGCAGCATCCAAATGATCAATGGTTGTTTTTGTTATCGAATTCCATTCTGCTATCATTTTTTCGTCCCTGAAAAATTATGGAAGAAAAGGATTAACTTTGCTTACCTTACTTCGTAATTACAACTATTTCACTCTCTTTTACAACTCCTTCTAGTGATTGTCATATTTGCTTGGTTGAAATTCGATATTTTTAGTTTCTCCTCAAATGTTCATTATAAAAGTGAATCTTACATATTTTTAGCAATATGAGTAATGATTGCATCTTGAGGATTCCAATTTCGAACTAAGAAGCCATTCACGTGCTCTGTTGCTCTATCAACAGTGTAGGCGTGAGCAAACACATAAGAATTCGGATCGGGACCACTGACAACGACATCACCAAGACGTACGTGCCGTGTAGCATCCGTGTAATGAGCAACACCACCACCAACACCGACGATAAACACATGCTCAACATGTTGAAAATTACCAAGGAGACGAGTAGTGATTGAGCCTGCAGATGTTGTTGCTTCACGACTATCACCTGTAAATCAGCACCATTGATATAAAAACGAAATTTCAATAATCATACGCTTGCAATATTTCACGATAGCGAGGAGAGATAGTAGTGGAAGAGGACTAAAAGGTTTAGACTTAGACTCTGAATAACCAACAATTTTTGGAGAATTTATCACAAACAAGTGGACGAAGCCCTTTACCACAGTGGTAATTTATATCCTTACCACTGCTGTAATGTGCCGTCGGATCGTCAAGGATGACGATATCGACAGATTCCTGAAACTTTTAGCTATTGTTACTTTTCTTTGCTAAACTGGTGATCGCTTTTTGAAACCTAAGTCTTTGAAATTTCTCCCCCCAAGAGATAAAGTTAAAAATGGCAATTTGTTATCAAAGTCTACAAATCGAACTATAGAATAAACGAAATACACACCAATAACAGCCAGTTTCGTAGCAACAACCCGATGTTTTCCAATCCATCCAAGGGTATAAATATTGGAGTCACCACCAGATCGATAACGATGAACGGTCGTACTATTATCAATGATCGCATCAATACTTTGTTTCTCAGCAAACAAACAAGTTAAGATTGCGACAGTGGGATGATCACGAAGACTGAAGCTGCTTTGAGTTCGAGACAATTCAACTGCAAGAACGAAAGGAAATGAATAAATTCGGAAATGAATAAATTAGAAACTTTATTTCTGCTCATCTGAATTCTTTCAGCACAAAATTATGTAAAACGTATCCAAAATAAAACTGAGAATGTGCTCGATGATTACATGATCGCCGTAGTGTTTTTTTATTGCAAAAAAATCTTCTTTCCAATTAGCTGAAAAAATAGGGGGGCCTTTAAAAAAATTTATACATAAAAAACTTACTTTTGTCAGCAGCACTCACACGAATCCATTCATTCTGTAATTTTTGTACAATACCAAGTGCTTCTAGTTCATGGAGAAATCCATCAACTTCCTTGTTTGTACAACGCAGAGATCTAAAGTTTGAAAATTTTATTAGTAAATTTATTTAGAAAGCAATAAAGTTAAAGCATAAACATATAGTTCATAAAGAAACGTTTTTATTAAAAGTAAGATAATTTAATTATTTAACTCTTTTATCTCAAATAACACATACATAATCTTATATTTATAATTTCGGGAAGGGTCCATGAGAATGCAAAAATCTAGAAAAGATGATATTATCAAAAAATTGAATTAATATACTTTCAAAAATATTTATTAAAAGTGCACAACTTACTCCGCAATAATATGCACAGATAAGCCATTTGGATATGCATGTTCCAGAACTTCTTGAACATGAGCTATAGTAACATTTTCAACTTCCGAACCAGAATCTGGGAAGAAATCAATAAAAGAGACAAGGCAAAATTGATTTTGATTAACATGAATCTGCTAACAGATCAGACAATTTATTACTTCATGATCAATCAAAACAGAAAAGATCGCTTATACAAATTTACAAACACTTTATTGATAGTGACAAAGAAAATCTCAATGAGCAAGTTTTTTACTTCATCTCTAAGTTATTTAGAAAACTTTTGCACTTATTAAACCTACCATACTGCTTAGGATCAGGCATTTGATATGTTTCATTTTCTTTCGCAAACTGCATATCAATTTCGATTTCTCGCAGTGCAACATAACCGTTTTGCATGAGCTTCAAAATTCGCTTCAGAAATGTCACATAATCTGAAATTTACTTCCATATGACTTTTTTTTTTAAAGCAAAGTTCTTGACATTAAATTTGATTAGTCACACCTAGCAAAAATGGTCCTACTTCATAGACTATTTCAATGTTTAATAGCAGTGCCACTTATTCGGATAAAGCTACAAGTATTTATATAAAACAAAAATATTTATATAAAAATTAGTTCTTATTTTTGCTTTAAAAATACCTCTTGGAAAAATGCTAACAAGATCCCGGAAGAACTGCTGAGCTACAGCATGCTTGTCAGCATTTTCAATATCTTCGAAGAACCGGAAACGAAAGCAGCGGTTTTCCTGAAAAGAAAATTTATTCCGTCTTATAATAGCTAAAGAGCTTTGCCCATAAAAAGAAATATATTTCCCTACCACTGCAAAAGCTTGTATGAAATATAAAAAAATAGAAAAAATTTCATAGAAACAAGCAAATCAATAAGAATGGAAAAGCATGGAATATTAGGAATTCGATACAATGTGGTGTTGCTTATATTGTACACGGTTTTTTTTTTAATTTCCAATGTAAAGGAGAAGGCACTCAGATGAAAATATGCATATATTTATATGCAAATTAAATAAGCTGAATAAATTAGAGAAAGCATGCACAAAAAGAAATGAATGAGAAAACGAAACAAAAAATATTTATGATTTTGAAGCACAGTCGACATAGTAATCGTTTGTAACATATAAAACTTAACCTGTTTCTTCATATCTGCATTTCGTAGCCACACAGAAAAGTTGAGCGCTACATCACATTTTAAGTCTAAAATAATAATTAAGCTTATCTTATCGCACATGAAGCTGTGAAAGTGAGAATATAAGACTCAATAGTCTCTCTTTTATATTACGTACAAATTAAGCAGCAAAAAATTAGACAAACTTGGTTTTCCATCGGTAAGCTTATTGATAACAATTCCAGTATGTTCTCCACCTGCAACATGCAATATTTGATCGTATTCAACATCGATATTCCTGGAAATTTCTAAAAATTTAATTAAAGCTCCATGCACTAAGCAATAATAAATCAGGAAGATATGAGCGTATTGAAAAAAAATGTAACAGAGAATGAAGCTTTTCAAATAACAATTTGCAATAGATAAGTAAGTACTAAAGCATTTTTTTTTTCGCCAAAATTCACCGTTTTCAGAGTTCGACCATTACATTTATACGAGTCAACTGTTAGATGACTATAGTTTCAACATAAGACTCAAAAAATTCTCAGGTTTAAAAACCATCAGTGCTCATTTAAATGATTATGCATTCCGTAATTATGGAAAAAATTACTGGGAAGATGAAAACATGTTTTCCTATTTTTGAAGAATATGCGAAATATTTACACTTCTAAATTCATCTTCCCCTATTCAAATGATAAGAAAAACTACCAGTTTCTTTTTTTCAAATTTATGAAAGTCTTTTTCCCTAATGGCTGAATGGAACAATAATTTTCTATTTCACTTATAAATAGACAGAAAAATAATGATTATTCCTGTAATTTTAGAGATGAAGCTCTTCGTTCCCTAATTTTAGAAACGGGAGAAGTTTGAGATTTTTTCATTCAAAAATTCGAAAAAGTGAACAATGAGTAATAATGATTCTTCCAAGTTAGTTTCCATATCAACAATAATGGTTCTTCCAGGTTAGTTTTCCATATCACACTTATCTTCACCTCATTTTATCAGATCAAACAGCTTCGAAATCACTTACTAGAAATTTCCTTTTTTCAACTCGTCTTATATTTTCCTTTCTTCGGATCAATGTAAGAAAACTTACCGTGAAATAAGCACCACGTTATGCTCTGGACTTTGTACAAGCGGTGAAAGTACCACGAGTCCGCCGTAATGAGGTACTTTCGTCGCTACCATTTTTCCAAACAATCGCCACCGTGAACCAAAAAAGCTGCTCTCACTTGCTGCAACACTTATGGAAAAGCGATCTGAAAAATTACGGAACAGGAAATCGAATCCGTCGTCGCATACCTTTTGTGAGATATCTATCCGTGTAATCCACCCGTATTGGGCCCAAATGCATGCGCACTTAAAGTTCGCAGTTAGCGGCCATTTCAGTGCCAAATGTACTAAAGTAATAGGAAATATAGCATACGACAGACATTAAATAATAAAAAGGACAGGTGAGCTTACAACCAAAAAAGCCGAACTAAATTCGCAAAAGAGAAGTGAAAAAAAGGCTTGGACCCGTGCTCCCATTTGTTTTACTCCTTGAACCATCTCGATTTACCAGGTGGATTCTGTAACATATGCTTTTAAAAATACTCAAAGGCTTTCTAACTTGGACAATTTTATTCGTCAGTCATCTGAAACAGGCTAAAATTGTGCATAATTTCTCAAAGAAAATTTGAATGTCAATGAAATTCCAATCAATTTCAGTTTTGCACTAAGATCGGCCAGATTGCTGATAATGAGTTGACTTATACAGGACTAATTGCTACTTCATTCAGTGTTAACAAATTTAAAATAAAAGCTATTGAATTGGCAGTTAACCTAAGCTAAACCATCGGAAATAGAAAAAAGGGAAAATAAAGGATCATTGATGAAAGTAGCAATTGGGGTGAGAAAAAAAACTTCCGCAAAAATTTTGATAGCAATCGGAACCAACCAGTTTTATGGAGTAAAAAAAAGAAGAGTGAGTCATATGGAGAGATAAGCAACGGAGAAAATTTAAGCCTTCATCATGCAAAGATAATCATAAATAAGTTCACGCAAATTTGATCTCGATTCAGTGTAAACCATTTACTTCACTGTCTGCAAGCGCTTGAATGCTCTCTGCTAACAGCTGTCTGTTTCAGCATGTTTCTCTGTATGAGAGATGATGTAACTGAAGGAAAATTGAGCACCAAATCTTTTTCCCGAAGCTTTATCAGGAAAGTGAGAATATCTTTGGAATTAAAAGTATTGCTAAAGTTTTGAGGATTATAATTACTTTTCTTAACGAGTAAAAATATTACCAATCCTTACTCTGAAATATATTCAAAGGGAAATCTTTAATGCCATAAATTTCAATTAAAATAGCATGATATGTTTATAAAATGAAGCTAAAACTTAAAAATGTATTATAATCAAATTTG